AGCAACTCCCGGTCGCCCACATCATAATTTCTCTCGGCCTGAGACAACCTGCGGGAGAAGAACGCACAGGGATGCAGCTTGCCGTCGATCCGTTGGGAGAGAACCGCCCCCACGCCCGAATCGGACGCGTCCACCTCCACGATGAAAGGCCGGCCGAGGTCTGCCTGGACGAGGACCGGAGCAGAGGAAAACAGGTGCTTGAGCCGATCAAACGCTTGCTGGGCTGCGGAGGACCACTGGAAAGACAACATAGGAGAAGTTCGGTTGGTTAGAGGGAGGGCTACCTTGCTGAAATCCCTGATAAAGTGGCGGTAGAAATTGGCGAAGCCCAGGAAACTCCTGCACCTCCTTGCGGGTCTCTGGAATAGGCCATTCCACTACGGCTTTGACTTTGGCCGGGTCAGCTCGCAAACGCCCCTGTTCCACAATGAAACCCAGAAAAGAAACAGTTTGCACATGGAACTCACATTTTTCCGCTTTCACAAAAAGGCGGTTCACCAATAGGTGCCGTAGAACCAGACGTACATGGTTGATGTGCTCAGTCTGCGACCTGGAAAAAATCAGAATGTCATCCAGATACACGAAGACAAAATGGTTAATAAAGTCCCTGAGCACATCATTAATCAGGGCCTGGAAGACTGCAAGGGCGTTACCAAGACCGACAAGCATCACTAAGTATTCGAAGTGCCCCAGCTGGGTGTTGAAAGCCATCTTCCACTCGTCACCCTTGCGGATGCGAACCAGATGATAGGCGTTCTGAAGATCCCGTTTGGTGAACAGGACCCCGCCCCCTGTAGTAGTTCGAATGCTGAGGCTAGCAGGGGGAGTGGATATTTATTCCTAATAGTGATCTTGTTCAGCCCTCGAAAGTCAATGCAGGGACGCAGGCTCTTATCTCTCTTTTTTACAAAAAAGAATCCTGCTGCTAAAGGCGAAGTAGATGGGCGAATAATACCTGCGGCCAGAGACTCCGTTATGTAGCGTTCCATGGTCTCGCGTTCCGGTTTAGACAGACTGTAGAGCCGACTTGTTGGCAGGGGAGCGCCTGGGAGTAGGTCAATTCCACAGTCGTAAGGCCGATGTGGAGGCAAAGACAACGCCTTTAATATAATATATTTAATAAATTTAATATATTATATTTAATATAATATAACACTAAGTGCAATAATCCTTTCTGTCATCGTTGTATTTTTACTCAGTTGTATATAGTATTTGTATTTGTATTCTATTTTTATCTTATTGTATATTTATTTTATTTTATTCTACTGTATATAGTATTTTATTTTATTCTATTCTGTACAGTTGTGTACTGTATTTATTCTTATTGTATTCTAATTTTTGCCTCATAACTTTTGCACTGTCCACTTCCTGCTGTGACAAAACAAATTTCCCACGTGTGGGACTAATAAAGGTTATCTTATCTTATCTTATCTTACTTTTGCTGAATACCTGGCCGAGGTTGTGGTATTCGGCGGGCACCAAGGAAAGTTCGGGGGGTGAGGAGCTTTTCGCAGAGGCGGTCCCGGGATTGTCCGGGACAGCGGCAAGTAAACATTGTTCATGACACCGCGTGCTCCAGCCAGTTACACACCCTTTGGCCCAGTTGATTTGGGGGTTGTGATGTTGGAGCCAAGGAAATCCCAGTACCAGTGGGGTGTGGGGGGCTTTGAATACCAATAAACTGATTTTCTCAGAGTGATTTCCTGAAATAATGAGTGTAACCTCCTGAGTGCGATGTGTGACGGAGGCTAGATGGCCGCCATTTAAGGCTGAGACCTTCAGGACCTCTGGAAGGGGAAGTAGGGGCAGGCCTAAGATCTTGGCTAACTCTTCGTCTAGGAAATTTTGTTCAGAACCAGAGTCAATGAGTGCGCAGTAGGAGTGAGTGAGGGAGTGAGACATTAATTTAGCAGGGCAGCTGAGGTGAGGGAACACTTTTGTTGTGGCGCCCGCCAGTATCCCCACAATTACTGACGGGCCGACTCTTTTACTCGGTCTGGGCAGGAGTCAACAAAATGTCCTCTTTTTCCACAAAGAAAGCACTCACCAGTCCGTTGTTTGCTCCCCAGTCTAGAGGAGGAAAGCTTGGCTCCGCCAAGCTGCATGGGTTGCTCTTCATCCCCGTGTTGCTCCTCCTCCTCACTTCTCCACATTAGAGTAGGAAGGTCCCTAGATGTACCCGTGCCCCCAGCACACCGCCGACCATCCCCGGCTCTTTTGCCGAACTCCCGCATGTGGTCGTCTAAGTTAATACACATATTGATTAGAGCAGACAAAGCTTTAGGCAGTTCCTTGGTTGCTAACTCACGCTTAATATTCTCGTTAAAGCTGTTGAGGAAGGCTCCACGCAGTGCTTTCTCCTCCCAGCCCGACTCCTCCGCCAGGATCCAGAACTCCACGGAAAAGTCAGCAACACTCCTCCTACCTTGCTTCAGAGAAAACATGCGATGACCTGCGGCATAGCGCCTTTATCAATTACACAGCGAAATTTGCTGAGAAAGACGTCATATGACACAGAGGGCTGGGTATTTAAAACTGCCTGAGCCCATTGAAGCGCCCGGCCAGTCATTAGTTGCACCAAATAAGCGATTTTAGCAGAATCAGAGGCAAAGGCACATGTCCATAAAACAGGCTAGTTGAACAGATGCAGGCTCAGCACCCCCACCACAATTGTTTAACAAGTTGCTTTTTCAACACTTTAATTTTTATTCATATTTTAACTCTCCCTGTGGATATTGACAGTTAATCATGTCATACACTGATCAAGCTTTTTAAATCAGCTGATTTTTGCTACAATACACTTTGTAAAAAATCAAAAAACTGCATTAAGCCTTTCTGCAAAAGGCAGAAATAACCAATTGTCTGTCCTGAATCAGTCTTATTAGGTAATGTTCAAATAATTGTATCATCCCAATGTTTCCAGTGTGGGAGAAAGTACTCAGGGCTTTCAAGTTACACACTATGAAAGGCAGCAACACGTTTAATGTTCAGAAACCTAAAGTCTGTATCAGCAGCAGAATGGACCTAAAAAAATGTTTGTTTCAGTTCTATGAAGCTTTGAGTATTTTGGATCAGTAGCTGCTGTGTTTGTTGCATCATATTGCTGTAATTGTTTATATGCTTTATATATTCTGAGCTAAGTTGATCTATAGT